GCATCCCCTTCTTTTTCCCCTCCCTCTCGTTTTCACCATCCTCCTCCCACCCCTCCTATAGAAAGAATCGCTCGACCGATCAGTCTCCCTCCCCTGCGAAACGATATAAATCCCCCTCCTCCCTGGCATCGAAAGATCGATTTTTCAACGATCGCGAGGACGAAAGAATCGTAGAATCGTTATCGAATTTTCCGTGAATTGTTCTCGCGCGAAATTCAAAATTTGAGCTCGAAAAAACGAGAACTCTAAAAAAAAAAAAAGAGGAGAAGAAAAAGAACAGCGCTTAACGAACGGCGCGTCGAAGGCGCGATTAATATCGAGGCGGTGTGCGATAAATTCGCGAGGAGGGAAGTAATTGGTTCGAGAGAGAGGGAGAGGGAAAGAGAGGGGTGGAATCAGTTTCGAGAAGTTTTCTGATTTTCAGGACCGACGGCTGCTGCTAATGGCCGACGGACTGGAGGCACAGCCCTCACACACACTCATCTATGCGTGTGAGGCACGCGTCCACACTCGTATAGCAGGAACACGTAGCGGGAAGCTTTGAGGGGCTTTGGGCGCGTGAAGGATACGTATAGACGAGAACAAGATGGGAACACAAACGACTGGAAGCGTTACGGAACGACTAACACCGAAAAGCTTCTTTCCTGAGCTCGCGTCACCGAGTTGTAGGCTAAAACTTTTATGATTTCGTTCGTGTCGGGTCGGTGTGCGCGCGGCCTCGAATAAGCAAAGGAAAGAGAGAGAGAGAGAGAGAGAAAAAGTCTTTCGCCGGTGGTGGAAGACAAATGGCGAGAGAGAGAGAGAGAGAGAGAGAGGTTTGGAAAGGGAACGAGGTCGAATATCCGACTAACTCGGATCGGAGGAGGACCCGATTGGACCGTGATTCGATGGATCTTCTCTGGTATAAGAAATACTCGGTATCCGATCGAGGCGGGGTGGTGGTAATCTGTATCAGCCCGGGCAAGAATCGCGCGATTCATAAGAATTCGATCAACGACGCCGTTCACATCCTCACGATGATTTATCGTTCACGATCGGGGGCTCTCCACGAGGCCCCGGGCTCTTTTATTCGTCGCCTCACGGATCAAATTGAATCCGGTCGAATCGATTCGAAGCCGAATCGACTTTCATCGAGGTTCGGGTTGAAATTTTGCCCGCACTTAGCGTTACCCTCGAGTAAAAAGGGATGGAGAGAGAGAGAGAGAGAGAGAGAGAGAGAATTCAGCCGATTGAAGGAGAGCGTTCACCTTAAAACGCGACTTGGTTTTTTTTTCTTTTTTTAAGAAAAAACAGTGCTCTGGGTCGGTGCGGATACGCGCATCGGGAACCAAGTTTCTCGCCGTTTCGCTCGAGGAACTCGAGGGTGGAAAGCGATTGGAGGCCAGAATCGGAGAAAGTGGCCTCTCCCTTCGAGATGGAACGCTCGTGTTATTATTCGCTCCAAGTTTTCCAACGCGTTTTCCTCTTCGCGGCGTTCACCCTCTCCCTCGCTTCGAAACCGCTTTATGAATCTTGCCTTTGCGGGCGCCACGCCTTAACACGCGTGTGTCTCTTCTCTCTGTCTCTCTCTCTCTCGATTCCTTCAGTGAAATTGTAACGACGCCGGCGCCTGAATAATTTCGTCGTGGAAGCTGGAGCCGTGTGACCGGTCGCCCCGGCTCGAAAACTTTAAAGAAGCCGACCGAAACCGCGGAAATTCGTACGCGAGTCGCTAATGTGCTCGAGAAAGGTAAATACGGGCGGCAAGATTGCGCGCAAAGTTTAAGCCCTTGTTGCGCAAAGAGAAAGACAAAGAGAGAGAGAGAGAGAGAGAGGAAAAGGTCTCGAAACTCCATTGTACGGAGTCATTATTCACTTGGACTACTTTTGGAGAGAGTATTACGCGGCGCCGCTTTCAGCCGGGGGATACCCGAGTCCCCGCAAGACGCATGTTCTTTTGCATGTTCCACGTCATCGACGCAGGCCTCTCATTGTTCTCGCTTCGAAAAAATTTCTTTAATCGTACCGTTCACCTTCTCTCTCTTTCTCTCTCTGTCTCCTCGCATCGTACGTTCGCGAGAAAACGAATCGACGGTTTAATCGTTTAGTCAACGATATTTCCTTTACCTTTTACTTCTTTTTTTCGCAATCGTGGAAGGCGTGTCGAATAGCTGTTGCGCGGTTACGGCGGTGAAAAGGAAAAAAAAGAAAAAGAAAAATCGATGCCACCGGTTTCCTCGGCGGTTTCCTCGGCTTTTCCGAGGCTCTCGAGAACGCCACGCGCTTTTATTTGTACGCAAGAATATCCGGTTGGCAACGAGGGAACGCGCATTCAACGGCACGATTCCGTTGAAAATACGGGCTC